ATTATATTACAATAACATCAAAATACTCTTCCGTATCAAAATATAGTACAACAGTCTTTCACTTTCACACAAGATGGCTCAAAATGCAATAAATCTCTTGTGCTGGTAAAACCCGAATAAAACAAAAATAAAAATTCAGTAAACCAAAAACGGCGTTCATGTTCACGCGCACGGACGTGCATGTACACACACATACGTATACTTTATGCTCTTTGTAGTAGCACCGGGAAAAACTACTGGCGGGAAACCATTGTTCACTCGACAAAACGATTAACTACTCGTCCCAATTCACATATCAAACGCTCAAAACATCACAAAACATGTCACTGACAGTTCGTATTCATTTTAACATTCTGAGGAATGTTTAGGAAAAAATAATAGTACCTGTGAATGACGAGGACAATCACGTTAATATCTTGTGCTTTGCTCTGCTAGCAGCGATTTATTATTGACTGCGCATGCGTGGGCAGAGATTATTGTAGTTTCCTCGTTTTGGTCATTCACTCACAGGAGCGCCATCTACTGACTGGATGACTTAGTAACATTTTAAATGTGTTAATGTTTTCCAAATAGTTCTAATAATCTTAAAGAAAAATGGGGGGTGTCTGTTTTTTTATAAAAACTTTAATAGAGGCAATAAATATCTGAACCCTCTACACTTGCCTGGTTTCACAAACCTGGAAAAGGCTTTTCCAATTGCTACTCTGAGTCAACTGTATGGTTAATTTTAGCAATCTCCTCCAAGCTGTAGCAGATCATCTCATGGAGCAGCCACGTCCTCATTCAAAGCCATTCAAAGATTTAAAAACACATAAAAGAATCTTAAAATGAGCCCAAAATGAACAGAGAGCTGGTGCATCAAGGCTTAACCTTCTCCACTCCTCGAGGACACCTGCGTCCTCTGTGAAGTTAGAGTAGATGAGGTTGTTACTTACAGACACACTACTGTATCAAAAAGATCATGTTTGGTCTTATTGTATACAAAATAATGAAGTTTTTCTTGTATCTTCTATATATTTCACAAAAGAGCAGTCTAAAGACATAGTCCAAAATCGACAAAACATGTCTTACTGTTTCTTATGGAAAAAAATTATGGAATATCACAAAACTTTGTGGGCTGCAACACTAAGTCTGCTGTTTTAGAAAAAGGTGAGAATCTCTCTTCTACGAGTTTCTCTTGCAGAGATAAGATGTTATAAAACCTCTCATTGTTATTGTGGGACTTGATTGTGGTTATGTTTTGTTGTGTTTTTTTGTCAAAAACAACATGGGCTACAACTATTACACTGTTGTCAATACCATACAGTGTTAGAAGGTGGCACAATGGCATTTCATCACTAACCGTCATGTTCTGAAGACCAGACACCATCTAACCTTTAGATTGAGCTGGAATCACAAATCTAAGGTGCTTTGGTTCCACTGCATTTTTTTGCTAAACTTTAATGAAGGGTTTAAATTAGTCACCTCAATCTCTAGAGGATGTTTAAACCTTTCCAGTAATGTTAAGCATGTGCTAATGGCACTACCCTCTGACATGATCTGAACAGCTCCCAATCCATGTAGATTCCACTGAGATTTGATAAGAAATGTGATAAGAAATGTGTGTTTGAGTGGTCTTTGAAAAAGTGTCTCTAGTGTCTCACAGAAAGAAGAGTGATTTTGAAAGACATCCATAACATGAGACATAACATGAGTTCAGTGTGCATAATTCTTAAAATGCAGAAATCCAGTAATAAGGTAAACTCTAAAGTTGGTAAATATTAGCCGATCCATACATTAGCTGACCCTTAAAACTCTTTCTCTGCATCTCTGGAATTTCTATTGGAATAAAAAAAAGAATCAGCTAACGTGCAAACTAACAAAGATAGAGTGGACAAAGCAAAAATGTATACACACATACATATATATATAAGTATATATGTATATGTATATGTATATAGGAAATAAACAATCCGCACTGACCCTCTGGGGAGGTCATTATCCTTCAAGCTCAGGCCCTATACCCAAGGCCTGAGAGCATAAGTGCCCTGCGCAGTATCTTTGATGGAGGGTTACTTTGCAAAGTAACCCTCCATCGTACGGACCTGTCTTGCCTTTATATCAGTGGCCTCTATATCCTCCTTTGGTGAGCATATTATCCCAGAAGGGTATCTGATGACCTGCATGGAATAGATTTTTATTACCCTATATCTTGTTATTACCATTCAACTGACTCTTCAGGATTCACTCACATTTGTGTACGGAATTCCAAGGTCCGTATAGCTCTCAATGTCTGCAATATTTCCTTCTGAGGGTGTTCAGGCAAACGCAGAGGGAACAGCAGGGAAAGAGCAACATTTTGGTAGATTTTGCAGTTAGAATACAATAGATACTTTTTTATTCCTGTCCAAGATTAGACAACAGACATATTACAGACAACATACAGAAACATGAAAAAACAGGATCCAAGAGGACTTGAGGAAGCAGCCACATTACGGCACACATACATTGCAGCTAGATGATGAAACGATAATATTGGGAAAGGTGGGGCGGTGAAGAAAAAGACAAGCTACCATTCTTCCTACAGTGGATTTTGTGTGTGTGTGTGTGTAAGCGGCAGAGAGGTCACTTCAGTTCACAGATATGAGATGGTACTCGTCTCTCTGAGGCTGTCACTACCTACTTGGGAAGGAGAGGGGGATGGGGAGGGGAACAGAGCATCTGTCTGCAGTCAACACTTTCTTCATCACACCTTTCTGCCACTCTTGTAATTGAATAACTTCCACCTGTGATGCCTTGATCTTATCTTTTAGGACTCTGCTCAAATCTCCTTTCTGTGGATATTTATAGCCAATCGGTGGGATCAGGGCTACAGTGTACATAAGTCGGTAATTTTAAGTCTGCCAATCATGTATCGAGGTAGACTTAGGCTAGCATAGTGGGTCTAGCCTTGCTGGATAGATCCCTAATCAGGATTTAAACCGATGACCTAACATATGCTTTTTTTAACCTTATGCCGATCATGAGTTTCTCAGTACATTCATTGTGCAAATGCAGCTCACTTCCCACGTCTTTTCCTATCCCCAGGATGACTTTCTCTACAGTGTGTCTGTTGTAAGCGGGATCTCCTGTGCTGTGCTGGCTGTTGCCAAATTAATGCTGGGAAGAAAACTGACAAGTCGGGCTCTTATCACCGATGGTAAGACATGTACACTCATGGACCCATAGAAGTGGATGAAAAACTCCTTTTATGTCAAAGAACTTGAAAATGATAAATGCTCTAGAACAATTGCTCTAGAACAATTATTCCCACTTTTGGGACTTGAAGGTATTGCAAGCGGGACACCTAATGATTATCTATTTTCTTACATTTTACTATAAAAACTTAATTGATAGAAATTAACTTTTGAAATGGTTAAACTCAACATTATTCAATTAAAATGATTAAACCCTTTCATTGTATTGTGTGTGTGTGCATTTTCCCCTCTATCTCAAATCAATACAATTTACCAATGATAGGAACATTTCTATGTTGTCACCAGCTGGGTCACTTTGCTGCTGGTATTATGCTGAGAAGTGCATAGTTGAAAATTGTGTTTAATTTGTTAATCTTTTTTCTCATTTCTTCCTGAAGGCTAGATGAATAATAGGAGCTTTATGTGCATCGAAATCATATGGTATCTCTGCCAGAGCAAAATGCAAAACCTTTTTTCCAATCACACACAATCCTTAGAGCATGAACAGCAGGTGATGCAATTTTCGGTAGACCTTGCAGAAATATGCTTTATTCACCTAGGCTGAATAACAATGGGGATGCACATTTCGATAGGCATGCACCTCATTGCATAACACCGGTCCACTTGTTGTTACCTAATCAGCATTAGACATAACTTGGATGAATTAGTGATAACTTGGATGAATGAAAAACTAAAACGGATAGCTGGTTACCAACTGAGAGAATAAAAAGGAACAACTATACAGACAAACCAACAGAAAAAGATGAAAGGTCACAGAAAGTAGCCTACAGTTCTGAATATTTAGGACAGGGTTTTTTAAGGCTATAAAAGATTAAGTTTTACTGCATTGTGTGGTGTATGCAGAGACATTATCAAATTAAGCTTTACAGTTGTGAAACAAATCCCATCAACTTAAAGACTAAGCATTTGTTTGGAAGTATTGCTTTTGCTTGCATTTTTCATATGGCTGACTTTATGCTGAATTTATGGCATCTTTACATTAGTTTCTTGATTGCAGCGTCATGGTCAAATATAAATACATCCATCCATTATCCATACCGCTTATTCCCTGATGGGGTCGCGGGGGGAACTGGAGCCTATCCCAGTGGTCAACGGGCAAGAGGCAGGGTACACCCTGGACAGTCCGCCAGTCCATCGCAGGGCCACACACAGGACATACAAGGACAAACAACCACTCACATGCACTCCTAAGGACAATTTCCCCAATCTCCAATCAACCTAACATGCAGGTTTTTGGACTGTGGGAGGCAGTGGTGGGCCGTCAGGGCCTTCAAGGCCTTCTCTGAAGGCCTAAGAAAATATCTGAATCACAGACTGATGTTAATTATATTTTGTCCATGAAAACTTATTAAATATCTCGAAATAGTCTGTCAGCTTCCTTTCATAGCTTTCCCCCTGGTTGCGCTGCTTCCAGACATGTATTTTCATATAAAAGCATTTAACCAATCACATTTCAGACATCCTTTGTCGCTAGGCAGGGTCAAAGTCAAAGATGTCTGCCAGGAGGCCTTCACAATCCGTTCTGCAGGCCCTCCCCCCACAGAAAATACATGTCGAGTACATTGTTGCTTCAACCAATCAGATTTTAGGTTGGTCATGCCAGGGCCTGCGCAAAGGCCCAGGAAATGCCACCAAACCCACACCCGCTGATTGGATAGTCAGATATCCAATCAGGGCAAAGCTAGCAAACAAACCGAAATATAGTTGTGTTGGTGTAATAGCTATTTTATTATTTCGTGGCGGATTTACTGTCAAGACCATTTTCAAAACGGACTTTTCAAGAAAAGTAAGTGAGTAAAATGTAGTTTTTTTTCCTAAATGGTATTGCGAGTTTATGAGGATATTATTGATGTTTTTTTGTTTTTTTTTTGGGGGGGGGGGGTCGCAGCTGTAGCTGCAGGAGTAGAAGACTTGTGCACCCCTGATCTTTAGACTGTATTTTAGGATTGTCCTGATCCGATATTTGGATCGTATCGGCCGGCATGAGAAAATGCCAATCGAGACTCCAGATACATTTTTTTTAAAAGTCCGATCCCACCCGAGCACAGAGTCTGTGTAAACTTTAGTTGTTATAAGAGTAAATCTCTGTTCAACATGAGTCTGACAACTAAGTAAGTAGAAAAAAAAATTCAACTTTAATACAAAAAGCTGGATCGGGACATCCCTACTGTATTTCTACATAATAAGATGATTTCTATAACCATAAAATAGTTATTGAGGGGTGAATTGATTCAGACGGAGCACTACTGAAGGCCTAGGTGTGAAATGCACGGTCCGCCACTGGTGGGAGGAAGCCGGAGAACCCGGAGAGAACCCACGCAGACACAAGGAGAACATGCAAACTCCACCCAGAAAGGTCCTGGTTCCCCCGGGATTCGAACCCAGAACCCTCTTGCTGGGAGGCGACAGTGCTAACCACCACACCACCGTGCCGCCCAAAATATAAACAGTGTGTGTTTTTTTAATCAGCTGTTTAATGTGTTTGGCATGGAGGCTGCCATATAAACCAGGACATGCCATAATGCAGCTGCATATTGTTATAAAAAGCCACAAATAGGCTTGCTGCTTTTTCTTTGCAATTATTGCATTTAAGTAGCTAATGATTTAATGCATTTGTTTTTATTGTTTGGTTTGTTTGGCTTCTACAGTATTGTATTTGAGATTGTTATAATGTATTTCTCCATTAGTGAATGAGTTATTTTCTTCCTCAATTAGTCTATTGCAACAGCACTTTGCTTTTAATTAGTGTGATTTCTGTGTGGCGCTCATAGATAGCTCTTTAATGATTTATCCCTCTGCAGCATGTTTCAGATGCTGTTAAGTGACGGAGCTTCTGCCATAATCTTTATTTTCGTTCATTATCATTTAAGTAAGTGCTTTGCATTCCAGGTGGGACCTGGAATTTTTTTATATTTTCACTTGGGACTTTGGTTGCAAGAGGTTGGAACCTCTGATCTAAACCATTCATAGGCAGAGAACCTCCTTCCACATTTGCTGTCTCCACTACATGGCTTGTATCGAACTGAAAACTGGACTTCTTATAGCTTTCTTCAAGAATTAATTATTTTCGGACGACATGACTAAGAGTTGTCCTGGTTACAGATTATTCTTTAAACAACTGTGTATCTCTGCACCTCCTCCAGAGAGACCATAGGATTCTTGGCTTCTTCTCTGATCAGTGCTTACTCAGCCTTTAAGTTTAGGTGAACATTCATGTTTTGTGGGTTTGCATTTGTTTTCTTGGTGTGTTCATTTGTTCACTTGTTGCCCTTTGTTAATGAATTTTCTCTAAAAACCCATAGAGGTCTTTAAAGAGTAGCTATCTTTATACAGAGACTGAGGTACAGATACAACTTATGATTCCTTAGAAACCCATATATAAAACTTGTAACTGCTTGTATCCACGAGCTCTCTCAAACTGTGGTTTATTATCAGGGAGGCTATAGAGTGTAATTCCCCTGTAGTTGGAACACACGCAACAATCACGAGTGTGTGACACGACAATCGAACAGTCGATATCAACCTAGTGCCAATGGCACATATGGAAACCCTTATGAAACATAGTGTTTATTATGGACAATATGTGATAAGCGCAGAAGTCCAAAAACAAAACACCATTCAAGTTCAAACTGGGAGGGCCATTCCTCCAAACCACACCTCTCAAGGTTTCACTGCCATTCCACACGTAAGTGTGGCGGTACCTATGCTTCCCCAATTGGCAACTTGAATTTTAAAATCACTAAGTTAATAATACTGTAAAGTTACCTTTAAGGCACACAGGCCCGTTACATATGAGGCAAGAGACAATTCCACTCAATTCAATTAGTTTATTTTAGTTTTCTAGCCAGAAATATATTAATTTAAAATCACTCACACATTAAACATGACATTTACGACTCAACTCGAAGCTGGCAGTGACCTACAAAGTAAACACAGCAAACCAAATAAAAGCAAATCGTGCACAAACCAAGGAAAATACCACCACCCGGAAAGTCCACCACCAACACCACGAGCTGGCCGTTCCTGTCAAAATAAAAGAGACATTCAAATTACATACAGTTCAGTCAACACGAATCACGCAGTAGCAGTCCAAGTTAGAAGTCCGTCCTGAGACGAACAGCCGCGCCACAGCAAACGCCGCCCGGAGCGGTACTAGAAGGACCAGGACGAGCTGGTCGCAAACCAGCCTGAATCAGCCAAACTGGACGAAGGACAAGAGCCAGCTTACACCGACCAGGACAGCGGGCATGAAGCCGACAACCAGGGCGACGGGCAGGCAGCCGTCAGCTGACGACGAATAACCAGGTCACAGGCGGACGGACCGTCAACCCGGAACAACCGAGCATGGGCAAGCAGCCGGCCAAGGACAAACAGCAGCGTCTATCAAACATACATGTCAAAAATAGAATTTGGAAGCATACGTAAAATGAACTTTAGCTTACCACTGAGCTTGATGAGTTATGCCTCTGTCAGGGAGGAGAAGCAGGCAGCTTGTACAAGTCACCTAGGTGTTACAGGTAAATCTGAGCTAAAGTCAGGCTAACAAATATTAAGGATGCAAGAAGCTTCTTACCACCAGAAGGCTTGATCAGCGATTAGCGTTTAAGCGCGTCAGTCGTATAGCGCCAACAAACAGTGAAGTCTGAACCGGAAGGAAACGTGTCATCTACCAGGTGAGGGAGGACCCTTTATATACAGACAGTGCCACAACCAATTAAAGTCAGGCACTTGTGTGGTGCGTTCAGAGCCCACAGGGCATACTGCCACATAAGCATTGAAGTCCCCCTGCAGACAGGGGAGTCTTGGGAGGAGCACTTTCCAGCATTCCCACAAGGACTCAAAAAAGGGTGGTAAATCTAAACTGCTGTAGGACACAAAACAGCTAAACAAATCCCCTCACAGGTTGGCGGAGGGAAGTTACCCTCTCATTCACCAGGGTGAACCCCAACGTACAGTCGTCAAGATGTATGTTGGTATGCCCCTCCTGCTTTGCACCAAGGGCAACCCCAGAGTGAACGAGTGTCCAACCCCTCTAGAGGAGACTGGTTCTATAACCATAATTGTGTGTCCAAATGAGTCAGAGTATTTCCAGCCAGAACTCTCCACTTCGCACATAAACTCAGGTTCCTTCCCCACCAATCAATCAATCAATCAATCAATCAATGTTTATTTATATAGCACTTTACAACAGCTGGAGCTGATCAAAGTGCTTAACAGAATAAAAAACAAATCAAACTATCGAACAATACAAAATAATACACAAAGACAATCACATCGGTGACAGAACCAAGTATACAGAGACCCTATGTGCAGAAAGCCATCCTGAACAAATAAGTCTTGAGTTGAGCTTTGAACAGTGGCAGGTCAGTAAATGAACGTAATTCGGTGGGCAGAGAGTTCCACAGTTTAGGACCTGCCACTGCAAAGGAGCGGTCACCCCACTGCTTGAACCTGGACCGTGGGACCTCCAGCAGATGTTGACCAGCAGACCGAAGTGATCTGCTGGGCTGGTGAAACTGAAGGATTTCACTGATATACGGAGGCGCAAGGTCATTAACTGCTCGAAAGACAAACAACAGTATTTTGAATTGAATCCTGTACTGTACCGGGAGCCAGTGTAGGGAGTGGAGGACAGGTGTGATGTGGTCATGTCTACGGGTGTCAGTAAGGAATCAGGCAGCTGCATTCTGTACCAGCTGAAGGCGATGGAGGGATGTTTGACTTAGTCCAACGTACAGAGCATTACAATAGTCCAAATGGGAGCTAATAAAGGCGTGGATGGCTTTTTCGAGGTCGCAGCGGCTCAGGAAGGGTTTAACCTTAGCAAGAAGGCGAAGCTGAAAAAAGCTTGCCTTCACGACCGCATTAATCTGTAGGTCAAACTTTAAGCTGGAGTCGAATTTTACACCGAGATTTTTAATTACATGGGAACAATGAGGGGCCAGAGAACCAAAACTAGGTGACATATGCATATCTGTCCCACCAAACAAAATACACTCAGTCTTGTTCTCATTCAGGCAGAGAAAATTCTGAGACAGCCAGAGCTTGATGTCACTAAGACATTTGTGGATAGAGTCAATAGCATCTGGAGAGTTTGGCAGGACAGGCAGATAGATTTGTACGTCATCTGCATACAGATGAAAGGAGACATTATGCTTTAGTATTATTGACCCTAATGGCAGCAGGTACAGGGAAAACAGAACAGGGCCCAGAATGGAACCCTGTGGTACACCACAGGTCAAAGGAGCTGACGAGGAGGAAAGTTCATTTATCATGACACTGAAACTTCTTCCTGTCAGGTATGACCTGAACCACTGCAGTACCGATCCCTGGAGCCCCACCTGTTGGGCTAAACGTGAGAGGAGGATGGAATGATCCACTGTATCAAACGCTGCAGTGAGGTCCAACAGCACAAGCAGAACAGGTTTCCTGGCATCAAGGGAAAGCAGGATGTCATTTTGCACTTTCAATAAAACGGATTCAGTGCTGTGGCGTGTTTTGAAGCCAGATTGAAACTTTTCAAAGATGTGATAATTGTCAAGAAATGATTGCAGCTGAAGAAAGACAACTTTTTCCAAAACCTTTGAGAGAAATGGTAGAAGGGACACTGGCCTAAAGTTTGACAGAACTGTAGGGTCAAGGATGGGTTTTTTAAGAAGGGGTCTGACCACAGCGTGCTTAAACACAGATGGAACGAACCCAGAGCTGAGGCAGCTGTTAACAAATGTTAGGAGACTTTGGCTCACTACATTGAAGGATTGTTTAAGCACCCTTGAAGGGATAATGTCCAGTGGACAGTTGGTAGGTCTTATCCCCTGTACCACCTCACACAGAAGGGATAGAGACACTGGTTCAAACACATCAAGTATAGCAGAAGGTACAACAGGAGAACACAAGTGAATAACATTAGCTGTATAGTCAATACTTTGTCTAATCGAGGCCACTTTGTCAACAAAATAATGCAAAAAGTCATTACAGGTCGACTCTGATATGTTTCTGAAAACACAACTGGGTGGGTTTGTAACCGACTGAATAGATTTAAATAACACCTGAGGGCGGTTACAGCTGGTGGAAATGGCATTTGACAAATATTGACATTTAGCTATTCTCACTGCCTCTTGATAAGCGGAGAGACTGTCTCTCAAAATGCTCAGAGATACATGTAGCCTGTCCTTCTTCCACCTGCGCTCTGCTTGTCTGCAGCGTCTCCTAAGGGCGCGGGTAGTATCATTAAGCCAAGGGTCTGGCTTGGGCCTGGTGGAGATGGACCGAAATGGAGCAATAGAGTCCAAGATCAATGAACAGGTTGAGTTGAAGGAGGAGATAAATGTCTCTGGACACATAGTGGAAGACAGTTCATTCTGGGTGTAGAAACTAGTGTTCATGAAAGCAGCTGCAAAGTCTCCAGCTGTAGTAGAGGTGATGGTGCGGCGTCTTGATGCTGGAATGAGAGATTTAGCTTGGATGGGAGGGGCCATAAATTCAAATTCAATTGTGAAATGATCAGATATGCAAATATCAGATATTTCTGTAATGGATACTGGAAGTCGATGTGAAATGACTAGATCTAATATGTGCTTATGTTGGTGTGTGGGCACATTTACTGATTGTGTCAAGCCTAAAGAGACCAAAAGGTTTTGGAACTCTGTATCCAATTTGTTAGGTGGGCAGCAGACATGGATGTTGAAATCACCACAGATCAGCAAACTGTCATATTTAGGCATTAGATCAGCGATAAATTCAGAGAACTCTGTAATAAAATCCTTGTTATGCTTGGGTGGACGATAGACAATAGCACACAGTACAGGACAGGCAAACTGCATCAAAAATAGCTGCAGCTCAAAGCTGCTGTAATGTTTAGCTGGGAGTAAGCGGCAGCGAAAACTCTCTTTGAAGACAGCAGCCAGACCGCCCCCGCGGAGACCCCACCAGAGATGGCACTCCACCTCCCAAGAGCAAGCTCCTGTAGCTGAGGATTGGACTGCCAAAGTCCCCATCTTCGGTCACCGTATATACCACATACAGTAGCAACCCCTTTGGCCCTGACCCATGTTCATTCTTGGGGCTCTGCCATGTGTAACTTCCCCTGTCTAGATCTAGGAGATGTAAGGGACCACAATACACTTAGACAGTGAATCAAGGAGTCAAAAAGGCATTTAAAGAGGATTATTCTGCCATCTTTTTGAAGAAATTTGCTGTAAAGAGTGGTAAAAGTTTCAGGGAGAGCTCAGGCCAAAATAACAAACAAATCAACCCTAGCAGAAAAAGAAAAGGTAACTTACCTAACTCAGACCAAAACCAAACTATACAAGCCTACAAAATAACCTAACTAGCAAACACATAAACACGAGAAAACTTGGGTTGAACAAAAAGGCAGGTCTCCCTTACAAAAAAACATCTGAACAGGTTTACATGGCAGCAAGTAACAGCCCATTAAATCCTTTAAACAACCATATAGGTGTATGGCAGACAAATGCCCCAGAGGCTCTGAAGCTTCACAGGCCGTAAATAGTGTGCAGGTGATTGCTTATTGGATTGAGACCCAGGAAGCAACACCCAATCCTAGAGGCAGAGCCGAAAACAGAGCAAGACATTACTTGGGTGCAAAATTTCATCCGTCTTGGGGATGTAACACATGTTTTTATACATACCTATGGTATACCTACCGCTGTATAGCCCAAGACACACACCCATCTCTTTTTGCCCTCTACATACGCCCTCTACATATTCCTATTTATTCGGATTTTTTTTCTAGTCTTCTTTCTTAGGTCCTATCCTTATTTTTGCTGTCTTGCAAAGCTGGGCTGTTACAGTATGCGTTTCAGTACCGGTATATGTGCTCAGCTGCATGTGACAATATCATGGCTTTCATGACAGTTGATATCATTCCGTTGTACCAGAGTAAAGGTGCTTTAGTATAAATACACACTAGACATTTCAGATGTTTATTTACATAAATTGTGTCTTATGTTGAACTGTTTATTTTTTTCAGGGTTTAACTCTCTGGTTGGTGCAATCATGGGATTTTCGATTCTTGTCAGCGCTGAAGTCTTCAAGCAGCACGCCAACGTTTGGTTTCTCGATGGCTCAATCGGAGTTCTAATTGGACTCATCATCCTGGCATATGGGGTCAAGTAAGCGATAAGAGCCGGGAAAATATATCCATCCATCCATCCATCATCGTTACCGCTTATTCCCTAATGGGGTTCGCAGGGAGAACTGGAGCCTATCCCAGTGGTCAATGGGCGAGAGGCGGACACCCTGGACAGTCCGCCAGTCCATAACAGGGCCAGGAAATATATCTTTTATATAAATAATATATCTTTTGGAGTTTCATAACAGAAGTTTTTGCTACATTTGCAACTCAGTTAAATCGAGAAACATATCTCATACTGCCACACGCTGTTAAACAATGCAGTCCAGATTATTGAATACAAACAGTGAAATAAAGAGATTCTCTGTTCCATCTTGCAACTTCAAAAAAAGCACAATTTTATAACTGTATAGCAAATGGGGAAACTGCCTTGAGATGTCCTGTGTTTTCTTTGGATTTGAACATTTTCTAATAACTCTTGTTTTTTGCCCATAGGCTCTTGAAGGACATGGTACCCCGAGTCAGACAGACCAGGAATTATGAACGATTTGAATGAGAGAAGTGAATGTGGACCAAATAAGCTTTTTCAGACAATAATCTACAGATTCATTTACATACCTGGGGACTTTCTGCCCTATTTTCTGTAGTCAGTAATGTCTCCATTCAAAATGAATTTGCACATTCATAAAGACACTACATGCCTGTGGTCCTATACATATGTACATGTTAACACAATCATTTCTATTGTATATACGTGTGACAGACTGTCAAAAAGACAAAAATGATTTCACACTGTCTCCTGGAAAGAAACCAACTCAATTCAAAACAATCTTCTGCTTTTCCTCTTTTCCTTTTGTTTGTTGAAATGAATCACTGCTGATGCTAAATCAATTGAAAATATTCAATTTCAGATATGATCATTAATGCTGTTCAGAAAAAAAAGTTAATGTAATAAGAACTTGGTAAAGTCTTCATTCAATTCTATCCACATTATTGTGGCCACAATTTCCAAAAATACATATTAAGCAGAGGACTGCTCAGTTGTGGGATTGTTAGCACCATCACAGCAATATGTTTTCCAATTTAAGCCATATGTATGAAGTAGGTGTGAATGTGAATGGTTGTCTATCGTGTGACTCTTTGATGGCCTGATGACCTGTGCTGCATGTATCCACCTCTCAACTGATGACACTTAGGGTCAAGCCCCCTCCCCAATGCTGCATTGGAAAAAGCTGGTACAGAAAATGGATGCATAGATTTTAAAGCAGCTGTTTTAACAATTTACTTCGTTTCAGCATTCATCTGTTGGCTGGCCACTAAATTATTAATCTATGTGTTTAATTATTTATCATTTAATAGTAAGCCTGAATAGTGGATTATGACTAACACAGGGTTTATAGGAACAGTTTAGATTCAGAAAAGACTGCTTCATTTAAAAACTCATGATTTTGAGATTATAATTTTTACAATAAACTGGAATCAAGACCAAATGATGCACAAAGGACAGTTGTTGTATAATTTGATAAGACCTGAGTTCACACACCTGAAATAATTTGGCCTGGCTGTATTTCATACCAAACTCTGCCATAGTATTTTATAAGTGACATGTCCATGCACAGATTACCAAACCAGTCTTGACACATTGGTGTTTTTTGCCTACAACTGATCAGTTGGGTCATTTAACCACTAAAAAGTAATTCAAAACTAACTGGAAATTTTAATTAACCCCACCCCATGCAACTGTTAAATAGTCAATTGTTGTACATGTGTTTTTGACTTGTTACGCCACATGAAATAATGACTCATAACATTTTCTCATTTGAATCCAGCAGAGGCATTTATTGTCTGAAGTACTGTTATGTTAGACAGATTTTTTAAGTAACTCACAGTACAATAAGGAAACAATTGACATAAATATAATTTATAGACTCAGTATTTTCTTTCAGTTTCCTCAACTGCTTATGACCCCTTTCTTCTGTATGTTCCCCAATGCATATCATTCATTATCATGACAATAAAGAGAATCTAATTGCAAAGCACATGCTCTGTAAATATATTTATTACATTGTTTGAGAATAGAAACATGCAGTAAATGTTCATATTGATTAATTTGTGTTGTTGCAGATTGTTAAACACGTTTGTTCCGGCCTGTGCATATTCTGTAAATGTTTACATTTTACTGTAGATTTTTGTTAAAATGAAATGACAACTCTTACTGAATATTCTTTGCACAGTATGTGAACTTTTGTAATAATATATTGCATACATTTATTCTCTGCAGCCTGCAAAGTCACCAGCAAACAGTTTCAGATTGTTTCGAATTATAAATAAATCTGATCAAATTATTGAACTACCAAATACATTGTCTATTTTGAGAAGATAAAACTGATGTAAAATGCTTGATTTCACTCTGTGAATGTTAACCCACAAGAACAGAGTTAAATCAAGTTGGAAGACCCCTTGTAGTTCATAGTATTATGGCTACAGTTACAAATTTTGTAAATCCCAAGGAAGGTATCTGTAATTATCCTTTGCAGAAGACATTATCAACGCTTTGAGCAGTGGCTGAGAACAGACCTGCATCCATTTAACACTACAACACATATTTAGCTATGCTGTATGATAAATATTTGTTAGCAGTAAAGTGAAGGTGTGAATCAGCTCATACAAGTTGAGCTCACCAACAGCACACTGATTTGTAATACGCCCTCCCCCTACCTCTTTACTGCATAGAACACAATCATTACAGTGAATTTATGGAGCAAAGCACAGTGTTTGTACATTCTTAAAACATAACATTTGTTGTATCTACAAATTACTAAATACGATAAACAGAAAACAATTTTGACCTAAACGAGAACAAATCCTCTCTACCTATCTTTTTCCGGCTTTATATTACTTTTACACCACTGCCTTTTTACACATTCATGCTGTAGGAAATTAAATCCAAGAATCAGGGAATTTCATTCACTGCTGCAGATTAAAGATTAAATGCAAAATATAAGAAAAATGTCTACCATCACATGATCACCACTGTTTTTTATTACTTCCTTAATTACTTCCCAACAGTTGCATGGCTTAAGAAACAGAGTTCATTCCATAATTTCTTTAAGGTTCAAATGCATGAAATATCTCACATATTGACATGTGATGAGGTATCTCAAAGCCTTTTATTATCTTTTTGAAAAAGCACAAAATGGTTATAAATTGTGAAAATCATGTTTGAGACTATACTTGCTGTATATTTGTCATCTAGGTGTGCTTGTAATTATGAAGGAACTTAACAATTGAGATTCCAAAAGAGTCATCAGTTCACTAATTCTGTTAAATTTCAGGCAAATTTTCTGCAAGCTTTGCATGGGCTTGTAAAACCACATATGCACACGCTAACATCAGAAATATGTGACTATTCTAAAAAAATTACTGTAAAAACAGATTGTATCTGTTTGTATGATAGCATAGGTGATGTTACAGGTGAAACAAACACTAGTTGTGTAAAAGAACAATGAATTATGTCTTTGTCAACAGAAAGATATTTATTGATTCAGTAAATAAAGTTTTTCCTGCCTTATCACCAGTGTCAAGACGTATGAATCTTTCTTTTAACAGAGGCTACGATCCTCATGGACCTATCAATGCTAGTGATTCTTGTTATATTTGAAAATGAAAACTTTCTCCCCATCCCTTTTTGCAACAGCCCCAGGTCATGTTTTATCCAAAACAGATCAAGATTTCTGTAGGGTTGATTCAAATTGAATTATTGAACATTGTTTATGATTTTTTTAAAACTTGGAGAATTTTGAGCATGGCAATAAATCATTCTTAGTTAATCAGTTAAAGACAAAGAGAAAACAAGAATTATTACAGGTACTCAGAAGGAAATGTTACCCACGATTCTTGTATTTTGAAAAAAATCTGGAAATCTCGGATCTACCATTTATCAGTCTAAACTTAAAGCACCACAAATGCTTCAAAAGTGGTAATGTCAGCACTTTTCTGACAGCCTGGTGGGAATTCTTGAAAATCAAAAAGTCCTCACTTTTGCCGTGTTAGTGTACACAAATCTGGAACAATCCTGATATCCTCCAAAATAAAAAAAAATCTCACTTTTACTCAGTGGCATAACAAATTGATAAGACATTGAGAACATATAATTCAAAATGGATATTTCAATCCATTTGATGAGCTCTTATCACAGTATGGGCTTAGCAGCAATACATTTACAAAATACCAACAACTTAAGTCCATAATAACCAATAAGTATGTCCTCCACCAACTGGATTTGCAACTCCAGATAAAGGTAGCAGAATACACCTGCTCCCTAAAAACACTCAAAAAACTATGTTATTATCAAAGACTGACAACACAACATATTTACTTTCTTCAAAGTGGGAAGCAGATCTAGCTTTCACCACCGATGGTAATTTTTGGCCACAAATATGTTTGAACATCTTTGGTGTGACTTCAAATCCTGATTCACAACTTAGACAAGATAAAATTCTCCATATAACTTATTACACAGGACAAAGGATGTTCAGGATGGGTCTCACACCCTCAAATATCTGCACACATTGCACTAACAACACAATGAATGATTATGCACATGTGTTCTGGTTCTGTGCACCTGTTCATAAGTGCTGGTTGGAGGTCTGCAAGGAATTGTCAACATGGCTGAAGTATTGTATTCCTTGTTTCTCGGCCTTTGTCTGGGCGACGGGGCCTGGTGGGGGCTAGTGCATAGTCGATCATGGTTCTTTAGCGGCCTCTACCTTACAGTGGCAGGGGGTTCTTCTTGGGGGATTCTTCTTGGGGGCTTCCCTGGCGGCCTTCTGGCCTGATGCCTGGTTGTATCTGTGGTCGTCTTCCTGGGATCTAAGCTCGGGGTGGCTGCTGGTGGACTGGGTCTAGGGGCGCTCTCTCCCTTTTTCGGAGCTGTGTCCATTTGCGGGAGCTCCTTTAGGTTCTCAATCTGGAT